GGAATAATAAATAACTTAAAATATAACGAAAATAATATTGTGTTGATTGTTGTGTTTGATTGCTGCTGTTGGTGTTGTGTTGAACAATAAACAATACAAAACAATACAATACAAATAAACTAGAACGTTAGAAAGAAAGAATAGAGTCCCTAACTTACCTATGTTTACTAAATTAACTCACCTACCTATGTTCAATTAGCTCAACTTACGAATTAATCCTACCTATTTGTACAATTACGAAGAAAAAGGTAAGGAAAAGAGAATAAAACATCAAGCTGCAAACAAAACAACGAATATATGTATGTATGTGTGTTTGTGTGTGTGTTTGTTTGTGTGTGTGTATGTGTGACCGCGCAATAATAATAATAACAATAAAATAAACGAACAAATCTAGAAATAATAAATAACGAATAAAATAAACGAATAAATCTAGAAATAATAAGTAACGAATAAAATAAACGAATAAATCTAGAAATAATAAGTAACGAATAAAATAAACGAACAAATCTAGAAATAATAAGTAATGAACAAGTCTAGAAATAATAAATAACTTAACTAAAAAATAAAATAAAGAAATAAAAAAAAGGGACCAGGCGCTAAGGGAATGCCCTAACTCGCCCGGTCGGATTTCAACGCATTTTCGGCTCCTATTTATACCAGTTCCATTCATATATTCTTATCATTTCAATCATTGACATCTTTAAAAAACTTTATTTAATGTATAGGAAACATTATTATATGTGTTTAACAACAATATATTAACTATACTAAAATGAATTCAACGACCGCCTACTGACTTCCTGATGGGAAGGCTCGAGTATGTGTATACGTTTAGCTAGTTGAATTCAAATTTAATCGAGATCACTCCTTTTTCACATAACTATTGAAAAATTAAAAAATGTATTTCTTTTAGTTCATTTCTTTTATATATTATACTTACAATCAATTCAATCATTAACATCTGTAAAAATTTTATTGATGAATGTTATTGATTTTTGATTTTATGTAATACACTAATATACATTCTTGACAACAGAGCTACTCAAACTTCAAAACATTCTGATTGATTGACTGGTTGGAACTGCTGTATTTCTTTTTAGGTAAACATATAATCTTGGTAATTATTTGTATACATAAATTCTAAATTCTTTATATATATTTATTACATAACTTCTTTATAAAACCAACAGAAATCAATGTTACATGTGTATGTACGCGCGCGGTTCAAATCAAATTATTCCGGGAGAATTCAAAATAATTTGACTCCACACATCTTACTTCACTTTAATTGTAAAATTTAAATGTATAAATATATATATATTTAATAACTACACATATCTTTCTATTTATAGGAATTGAATACAATATTTATTCTGGCTAATTCACTAAAGTACTGTGAAACTACTTTTAAAATGACGTCATTTTCCCAAACGGTTTCGTTCCGAATTACCAATCCCGTTTCAATAATCCTTATCTTTCAATCAATCTTAAAAACAAAGTGATTTAATAAAATTTAAAAAACTTCCATATGTTGGTTGATCGTACGATCATCATGTACGTGCTTATGTAGCTTATGTATGTGTGTATGTGCGCGTGCGTGTGCGTGCAAGTATAAATAATGTAAGTAGGTGTAATTATACGAACTCGTTGAATAAGTATTATTACTGCATGGCTACTGACCTTTTTGTCTATTGCTATTATTAATTTCGTTACTATTTCAGCGTCACATTAAAAAATCGTGCTATACTGTGTATTTGGTGATACACAGGTAATGATAACAATTTAGTCGAATCATGATACTATATATCGAAAACATCAAGATTTCGAGCGGTCCGGCCAATATTAGTGCCGACCGTTTTCTGTAGACCTTCTTGTAGAGGGTTCGATCGCGAGCCGAGCCGAGCAAGTGCAATTATAGCTTGAAAGTCACTCGAATTCAAATTGAAATTTGTCGAAATTAATTGAAACGAGTCAAAATGTGAATTATTTTGGAACGTTCATTATTAGACTGTTGATTGAACGACAGCATTGACGATGTGAGAACAATTTTAACTGCGTGATAGACATTGAAAACGTTCTATTGTTAGGTAATCAGCATATTCGATAACACGTCAAATTTTTTTCCAAATATTATGTCCAAATTTAAATAACTATTAAAACAAATGAATGATTAAATCAACAAACAAACGAACGAACTGAGAAACAAACAAATAATGTCACCAAAAAATTAACAAATACACACAAACACACATACATATACAAACAAAATTTTTTCTTAAATGGTAGAGTAAGAAAGGAGCGGTTTCAAGTACACCAGCTTGGACACGCACACACACACACACGCACACACACGCACACACACAGAGCATACCAACCAAACAGTCAACCAAACTAAATGAATGAGCGAACGAATGAATGAATAAATGAATGAGTATATAAATATATATAGACGTACACAAACATTTACGTGTACATATATAAATTTTAAAATTGTTCAAGTAAGGAGCGGTGGCAAGTAAATTTGGAATTCATAACGACAAATATGTACAATTGTAAATACACAGGCATACAAATATCTAAAATAATTTTTTAAATAATAAATCTATTTAATAATTAAATAAAAATATTATTAATTGCGTGTGTACGTTATCCGGTTTTCAAACCAAATGAGCCAATCAGGAAGTTAGGGTGGCGTTCCTTAATTTCCTACTAGTATAGAATTCATTCTAGTATAGTTAATATATTGTTGTTAAGCACCTATAATAATGTTTCATATACATTAAATAAAGTTTTTTAATGATGTCAATGATTGAAATGATAAGAATATATGAATGGAA